TTTTAGGTTATTTTTATTGATGCGACTAGAGAAACGGGTGTAAACTATTTCATATAAACACTTCGCGGAAATTTCAACGATTTCGATTTCCGGTTTCGAAATAACCTAGCAATTTATCTCAACTATTTACTTTATAGGCCATCAGGATAAAAATTTGCGTATATTTCGTTGTTTTGGTATTAGACATCTATTTTATTTGAATGTAATCATAGGTGCTATAAATTATTATATATCTGACTCCACTAACGTACGTAGTCAAAGGTTGTCTCCAAGGGCGTAATAATTTTTGAAGTTATACTTCTTTTGGCACGTTTGGAAAAAATATGAGAGTAAAATTTTTACGATGCGCGCGCACACCGACAGACAAAAAGCGACATGATGAAGTTAGCTGAAAGCGACATGCTGAAGTTACCTGCATTCCTTTTACAAACAGAGAGTTGACAAAACCTATTATTACTTATCTAATTACGCGCGTACAAAAGTACACACACACACACTTTTTTTGGTTATATATATAAAAAGCTTGTCACAACGGCTGTTCTAGGTAAATCATAGTCATTTACAGATAATAAAATGACAGGTGAAGAGTAAAAAAAAAACAAACGAAACGAATAAATAGTAGGCATTGCTTAGACATTGGCTGAAACAGACGAATAGAGTCTTGAAAATGTGTGTTAATAATTAAGTATTTTCATTGTTTAACTCCATATGGTATTCATTTACTTTTTATTAGACCATAGAAAATTATACCACATTTAATAAAATTAATTTCCTATGCATTATAATAGTATAATTAAAATAATTAAAGCATTATTATTCTAATTTTCCCTCATATTTCATTCAAATAATATTTTAATAATATCAGCAATACGCTATACAAATGTAATTGATAAAGCTACAAGCAAAAAACCTGTTGTTTCACATTGTACAAAAGTTGATACTGAATTTTTAAACCACATCGATCGTTTTATTTTATTTTTAGATATACGTTTTGCGCAATCAAGAATCGATTTATAAGTCAGGCTATAGACTTATAAGTTTTAAAGCGTAAAATATTCTTTTGTTATTGCTTTGTTTGGATTTTACAATCAATTTAGAACAATAAAGATCAAAGGAGCTTAGAAGTACAATAGGTACATTTATAAAAAAACAACATTCATTTCTTCCAAATTATGTGTATTTGAAAAGCAGTTCAATAAAATTATATCAATCTAATCTATACATATAATAAAATTCTAAGTTGAATCTGTCCATTAAATATTTTTTTGGAAAATCTTATTGAAATAGATATTATTATCGATACAGAGGCCGAATCTATAGTTTTTAAAATTTTTGTCTGTCTGTCTGTCTGTTACCGCATCTAGAGCACTTATTTAGATTTAAAAAAGTTACCTACCTGATTTGAAAGATATTTAAATGAAATATCATAAATTATAATAATTTTCTGTGAAATTTAAAGCAAAACGTATTAAATCACTTTAAGCAAGTCAGTGAAATTGGTCCGTATAAATATGTAAGCGAAGGAAAAGCTGACGTCTGCGTTCCGCCATGTCGGTGCGGTAACCGTGTCAATTAACTTGGCTGCGATGACATATTAGTCTTTGTTTTCTGTTCCCTCCCTTCCCCACCTACCATTAGGTATAATAATAAATCCACTACGCTATTATAATAAATTCATCCCAAATAAATTAATATTCTTGCCGATCCTTCCAATATTTTAATAAAAAAATATAGGTATAAAGATATTACGTTGAGTTGACGCAGCAGATGTCGAACAATTAAGTTCCTTGAATCGATCCTAAATAAAATAGATCCACTGTAAAAATAAAAAGTTTAGTGACTGTCAATGTCAAACAAAGAAGATGAAAAAAGTTTTTTCTCTCAATTCCATTTTCTTTCACGATTCCTCTTTCACAGTCTCTAAAAGTTTTCAAAATAAGAGGTTTTCGCGAGAGTCTCAATTATCGATAAAGGCGATATTAAAAATTCGTTTGTTTTGTTCTTAGCTTGCGCCTGGAGAGCGGTGTCCCTTTTTTTCTATTGTTTGCGTAAGAAGGGGACCAAAAGAGTCGACACGATAATCAGAAATTTGAATTTCAAACCGCAAGTACAGGCTGAATCATCCGATTTCGTGCGTCGTTTATCATTGCGAATAATTAGGCAGAGAAAAAGTTATTATATCTATCTAAGAAAATATCTTCAACATTCCACAGTTTGTGTACTCAACGAGACTATATTTATTTTTTAATCTAACTTATACAAAGATGCCTTGAAAGTGTTCAGTCTGCGAAGTCTGTATCGCATTTTGCAATCGATAGTTCCGTTATCATTGAAGGATCTATAGAATATCAGAATTTACATAGATAGTTGCCGTTTGGTAATACCATGATAAAGGAACATGCTCTAAATTTATTCGTGAGTATTATAGTGTACCTAACATGTATGAGAGCAGTGCTCCCTTAATGTATTCATGTAATTCGCATAGCCGGCATCCCCTTTGACCGGCCACGCAACGCCGCATGGGCTGCCCAGATATAGTAATATAACGTTATGTTTTAAAACCATCCATCACGTTTAATGTCCATATAAAAGAATTAGCTAGCATGCCGTCTTTTCCGGCGTTTTATAGATTTATAACGTTCTAGCGATAGTAATTAAGCAATTTATTTATTACAAGCTCTTTTGGAAATATTGTTATTGTGCTATATAATATTCATATTAAAATGTGCATGGCTGTTTAGAATATTATAATATGCGCATTAAGGATTTTCGTTATATACTTATTTATTTTAATCAATTGACTCCTCTGAAATTCAAAAATACAAAAACAGGAGTATTCTATCCGTTCCCAGTTGGAATAAAAGCCCAAGTACTGCTGCTTGAATGTAAAAAAAGCTGTGCTAGCGAGGCGCGTCTGAAACCAATTTGCATTAAATGCGGTTGGCTCTTCTAGTGCTACCTCACATTTGCTTAAATCTACAAAGCCGGATTATGCTTTCTCAAACTGACCGCGTTTGTCTTTACGTGGTATAATCGAAATGAAAATATTGTAATAATTTAAATTAATAGAATTGTATGAACCCTTTTATGTTTTATAGTAACCGTCCGCTCCACCCGCGCTCAGATTACCAAAAACCAAATTCTTAGGTTTTACATTTTAGTATACTCTTACAATGTTAGTTAATGTCTTAGTTTTTATATTTTTTCTCAGAAATGAGATATTTTCCCGCGGTAAAAAGTATTCTATATGTTGACCCGGATAACCAGCTATCATCATACCAAATTTCATCAAAATCCCTCCAGTGGTTTTTCCGTGATGCGGTAACAGACAGACAGACAGACAAAAATTCTAAAAACTATAGTTTCGGCCGCTGTATCGATAATAACGTCTATTTTAATAAGATTTACCAAAAAAATATTTAATGTACAGATTCGGCTTAGTTAGAATTTTATTATAGGTAGCAAATGTATAGATAGCAAATAAAACGAAAATAGTAGGTTTTAGATTTTTCAATATGTGATTCTAAAGCAGAGTTTATATCCAGCGCTTCTTTAAGATACCCGCAAATATTTTTATACTATATTATATTAAAAATTCTAGTATTCTATACCGCCCCGGTGGTGTAGTGGCTAGCATGTACGGCTACATATCCAGAGGTTCTGGGTTCGAGTCGGGCCAAGTATGTTTATTGAGTCTTTCTGTTTAAAAACTCTCAGTTATAGCCCGGAGTTGGGAAGTTGGCGGTGTTTCACCCTCGTGTCTCGGAGAGCGTATAAAGCCATCGGTCCTGCGCCTAAACTTTCACTGGTCCTGTCGAGTAGGTCGAAGCTCGTCCCACCAGAGTAAAAGAGTAATAGGTATAGAGATTACAGTGATGTCTGCGCGTACACTTGATCTCCTGCGCAGTTGGCTAGTCTCAATGAGAATGACTGCCGTGGCCGAAATTACTCAGAAGGATATTATTATTATTATACTATACTAGCGACTCACCCTCGCTCCACTCGGGTTCGTCCCTGGTTACGTTTTAACGTTTAGTATAGATTTCTCAGAGATGAGATATTTTCCCGCAGTAAAATTCTATAAGTTGACCCGGATAACCAGCTTATTATAATACCAAATTTTATCAAAATCCCTCTAGTAGTTTTTTCGTGATGCGGTAACAGACAGACAGACAGGCAGACAAAATTTCTTAAAACTATAGATTCGTCCTATGTATCGATAAAAATATCTATTTCAATAATATTTTCAAAAAAATATTAAATGTACAGATTCGGCTTAGTTAGAATTTTATTATAGGTATGCATAGATTTATATTATTTAGCCGAGAGAGACTTTTAAAATCTATGATAACTACTGTAGTTTGTTGATTTTATATGTATAGGAAAATTCATATTTAATAATATTCATTTATTAAGCTGACTGCTACAGTTCGACTTGCTCTACCTATCATCATAAAGAAAGTCGTAGGTTCTATTCTAGCACATATAAAATGCCATATCGAATTTGCTGCAAAAAGAATGAAATAGACGACTGCAAAGAATAAACAGTATATAAAGACAAAAATATATTTTGTTATGTTTTAATCATTTAGAAATATTTAAGTCAATCACTTTACATTTAAGTGAAATAAACATTTATGAAACAATACAGTACCTAAACCTTCATTTCGATTCGCACCCTTATATTCATTATGAAGTAGGAAATTCGTCAAAACATGATTGTCTGCTACGGAAATTGTGCATTCTGTCTAGGAAACACACGAATTTCAATTTTAACACGCTCTGCACTTTTCAAAAGCTTAGCTAACTTAAAGAAAATAATAGGTAGTTATTTACTACAACTACTACATTTTTTTAAATAAATAAAATAATAATAAATAAATATGTGGGGACATTAACACACAGCGCCATCTAGTTCCATGGTAAGTTACGAGGCCTGTGTTATGGATACCAGATAGTTGATACACTACACATATATAACTTTAAATACATACATATTATAAATATAAACACCCATAACTGGAGTGGTACTCATCACACAAGTGAATGCCCCCAGTAGGACTCGAACCCCCAACCGCTGGCACAGCAAGTAGGATCACTACAAACTGAGCCAAACGTGTCGTCAAATGTCCCTGATTAACGTTAAAAATATTTATAAAAGTTTAAAACAATAATAAAGAATCTACTGTCAACATTATTGTAAGTCTAGACTTGTGTAAGATTAAGAATAATAAATTTCTGGTCTAGATATAAATTCAAGATTTAAAAGTTATTAAATAGATAGAACATTTGAAGCTTTAATCTTGTAGTCGAGAAGCCGTGCGTTTTATATCAAACTTTGTCTCTATTTCTGCTTTCATACATTTATTTTATTCGTTCAAGAACTGTCCAGTTTTCTATAAAGTTTGAAATACTACTTCCTTGGAAAAAGAGTTTTCGAATCCGTTTCTAAACTTGTTATACTTTCATTCTTTTTCTTTTAATTGCTATCAAGTATTAGTTTTATATTAATGCCATTTAGAATTGACATTTACTTAAAAATGATCTATTTTCCTTATTGAAAAACATAATAGTTACAAATTAAACGCTTACTCACAGTATTAAATAACTTCAATTAGTACTAAATAAATTAATAATATTCAAGAAGATTTAATAAAAAAATAACTAAAAGAAACGCAAATGGATTGAACATGTTGTAACGCGATTCAATCAGGACGCCATAGAGCACGGGCGATCTCAAGATCACAGCCCGCATACTAAATTATTAGCCCTTAGTTATTTATGCATCATAAGCCAACATCTTAATAGCGAGCAAGAGTTATGTCCAACCTAAAATAATATTTTGAGTAAATGTTTGAAAATAAACAAACGGCGTCCGACCACGTTGCTTTACATTCACAATATGTAGTTCATCGTGTGCCTTTATGGCGATTTAAAGTTTGAATGGACTCAATAAAATAAGGTTTAATTTTCAATTTATGTTACAACGGAGTGTAACGAATTAATATTAGTCCTACCTTTGGATGTGCTCTTCTGGGAAAGGCCACCTTGGGGTCAATCTGGAACAGAAATTTATCATATAAGATAATTATATTATTTAGTAAATGATTTATATTCTATAAGAAACTAGTGTTTGCCTGCAACTCCACTCGCATAGTTAGTAATAAAATGCATGCGATTTTTTTTAAATTCGGAAATGTATTTTCAGAGATTACAGAATTTAAACAAACAAAAATAAAAATCTTTACATATTATTAGTAATATATTATTTTTCGTATTCCAGCATTTGTGTAGGTATAGATAGGTTCGTTGTACAGCATGATGCACTACGAACAGGTGAGGTTGACGATAGGGAGCCTAAAGACGGGCCTAAATTATTATATAAAAAAATATATTATATATTAAAAGTTGTAGACTTTTGTATAATAAAAACTTTTTAACAGAAAATAAAAACCGACTTCCGGGCACTAAAATGTAAAAAATAACTAAACGGAGGTTTTTATTTAGAATAGATACCTCATCAGATATTTTCTAAGTCGGTGCCACTTTCTATAAAAACACTAATAGAGATCTATTAGTTCCCACGGGAAGCGTTCAATTTTCCGAGATGAAAAGTAACCAGTTCTTTGACCGGCAATATAAGATATCAGCATGCCAAATTTTACTAAATTAGGTGCATAAGTTGTTGTGTACTAAGCTGTACAAGTTATTATAGTTTTTTAACTATCCCACGGGAACTAATTAATTTTTCGGGATAAAAAGTTTCTACGATGTTGCCCGGGGATATAAGGTACAACCATGCAAAATTTCATTTAAATCGGTCTAATAGATTTGGAGATTAGCCCGTACAAACAGACAAACAGACAGAGAAACAAAAAAATTGAAAAAAATCTGGATTTGTTCTATTTGTCGTCTTACATCCCTCTGACTCGGTTTTTAGAATTTTTTTTTGCTATATACAGACATTCGACCTCTACTGTTTTATTATAGTATAGATCGGTTCAGGCGTCTTCGAGTAATCGGTGAACATACATAAAAAAAAATTCTGACGAATTGAGAACCTTCTCCTTTTTGGAATCGGAAGTCGGTTAATAAAGTGTACAGACTATTTACTCTAGGCCACTAATCCAGGAGATAGCTCAAAAATTAAGCTTCGCTAAAATGCAAAAAACACCGGAGTTAATTAAACATTAATTAATCTTCTTCGTATACTTTATTTATATTATAATTAAGATATGGAAAAGTTTTTTATAACATACTAGTTCTTTTAAAATATGTGAAAATAAATACAATAACTTTCTACCAGACAAAAAGTTAAACCATTATTTTTACAATACAAAATGTATGATTATATAAACCTTTTTTTACCATTTGGATGTTATTATAGATTGTGCTTATCTAAAAGCTGTCTACAATATTTCGAACTATTGAATATTTAAATATATGTCCTATAATCCTATTGTTGTCATAGATAAAATCAATTAAACCATATTATGTTAAAATAAACACAAAAAATATCTAAATAAATAATTTTATGTCAATTATTAATAATAAATATAAAGAGACCTTACAACAATATTAAGAAACTAGCTATTTAATTTTAGCTTAATGACTAGAGTACGAAAAAATCACTCAGGCATTTCCACCCCAAACTAATCATGACCGCACGTCGGGTCGGGAAGAGCGCACGATAAATTCGCATCGCCTCTACTGCACTGTCCATTCCTAAAATCCCAGCAAAAAAGCATCGGACTGAAAATCCTCCACCGTGGTCCTGTCACTCGATTTCTCCTTTCGTCTTTTTCATGTAACCAAGCGCTACTATTTCATACGTGGCACTGTTTAAGCCCTCAGATTTTCTCCGGCAACGAGCGGTCGCTCTACTCTTTTTTCTCGTGTTTCAACGCGCCGCTGACCGTTATAAACGCAAAATATAAACCCAAAGAAGCTACCTTTGACATTTTTAGAGATAAAGCGTTTCATTTCTACCAGTACTGACCGTTTTGTAGACTTTTTTCTAAATCCTGTTTGGCTTTTTTGTTATGTTTAATTACATGTTTAAATGTATACGTTAGGGCGATGCTTAGCGATGCTTCCATCACTTATGAATTAGGCGCTACGAACATGTGTTTTGCGGCAATAAAAAAATATGAAAATAATGTGGTAATATTGATATACTATAAGTATATAAGTTTTAAAAATTAATAATAGTATAATAGTAGGCTCAATATTGAATGTTTTACATAGCGATAATGAAAATTGTAGGCATGTTTTTTTGCATATATTATTTAAGAATCTATGACATTTATAGGAATTATACAAAACGTTTAGATACACGATGTATTGTTGACCATTTGGCACAGGGTATCTGTAACATGAATGAATGTATGAAATGATGATATTTCAAAATTTCTAAAGTCGCTTAATTGTATTCACAATGGATACATGAGCTGTAGGCATCCACGTCTGCGTAATTACGTACCAAGCGTGAGAGAATAATTTAAAAGATTTTGCCCAAGAGGACTGCATTATTACAATATCAGAGAAACGGCTTTACAGCGTCATTCATACATTCTTAATTATTTAATTATCTTTTGAGTGCGCTACGGAATAACGCAGCTGCAGAAAATCCTGTATAATTTGATTAAATTGGATTTTCACCCAAGAGAAAATTCATTTTTATAACGATATTGTAATTAGCATGAAGGAAGATAACGAAGGTTTCTGTACACGGGTCCTATCTGCTAAAATAATTTCTTTATAAGACTTCACTGAGAGCTGTTGTAAAACTGTTGCTAACCTTTTAAGCGTCTCACGCAAGCAATTTTGTTAACGTTGTAAAATGACCACGAAAGTATACAGAGCAAGCAGAAAAATCATAAAACCCCAGATGGTGGCGCTAAAGCGATTAAGCGGGTCGATGATAAATTTTAACGAGTTATTTTAATGGAAGTGATCGCAGTCAGTGGCTAGCCGGCAGCCTGTATTGATAGAAAAATAAAACGAGCTTTGAAAAGACTGTTCCTTCCGTGATTTCAAGCGTTTTTATTGTAAGATTCTCTGAGAACTTTGAAAGATAATGACGTTCACATTAAACAATTTTAAGCTGTTTCTAACAAGATAAATTTAGTTCTTTCATTTACTTGAAAAGTTCTAAGTAGAAGTATGTAAGATTTGCCTCTTAATTAAAAAATACTTCAATCAGTACTTTAAGATAGAAAAAAAAACATATTATAATCCTGAACTAATTCCTCAATACTTTTGATCTACGAACTATATTCTTAAAAAGCAATCCCAATAATATTTAACCAAATATACTATTATATATATTATAACTGTCATTTTTTGATACACGTGCCACAAAGAACTGGTCAAAAATCACCCAAAATTGACAGTGAAACATCGATATCATACGAATGTGACATTTTGATATGGGACCATTTGCGTGATTACAATCGACGCAGTGGCGCACCCTCCTTAGCCAACCTCCCCCTTCCAACAACTTCCCTTACGATAAAGATTGACATCATCGCTTTTAAATTTCAAATTATCCTAAGTCAAGATTGGTACACTAATGAAAATCTACCTTAAGCCCTTTATATTATAAGCTAGATTACATTAATCCATGTTACATTTTAGCGTGTCATCGCAAGAAAAGATTGCAGGAGAAAGCACATTAGTGGGATATCACTGTTGGTTGAAAAAGAACATGTCGCTTTATGTACTTGCGATGGTTTCGACGTAAAGCCGATAACGTAAAATTTTATATTAAGTAAACAGTCAATATGGTTGTCTTCTATAGTTTCATAGTTTGTGCAAGGTAATGGAGTAAGCATATTGTCCTTAAAACCATGTATGCTAGATGTGATCGTCTCGTTAGTATAATAAATCTAGATATTTTTGTTTGTTAATGCGCGATCAGATATATTTTGTGAGTACAAAATTTTATGTGATAAATATGAATGACTTATTTTTGTTGGTAAGGCATTATAAAATATATAATTTTAATATATAGTTTTATTTCGTTGTTCTATGCGATTTTTTTTAATTAGTATTAAAAACTTAAAACAAATTAAAACCGACTTCAAAAAAAACACTAAAAACAAAAAAAATATCAAAGCACACGGACTTCGAAACTACTAATCAGTAATTTTTTTCCTTTTTAATGTTTTTTTGAAGTAGGTTAAAAAATCAATAATCCCGTATTTTCTATCTCATTTTTTCAAATTTAAATGGGACAAACTTTAAGGTATACTCTATGTAATAAAAAAATAATCATCGGAATCGGACTACATTGTAAAAAGTTATGCGTGGTCAAACGTAGAAAAATATTCGCGTCGAATTAAGAACGTACTCCTTTTCTTAATCGGTTAAAAATACATTCCATTACATTAACTAGCACGCCATTCTCTCCTTAGGAAGTATTATAAAGTTTTATCCTAAATGAAAATCTAATATAGATCCTCAGAGATTCATTTCTCACGCACTTTGATCTTAAAAAAAAAAAACAATGAAACCTGCAGTCTTATTTACTCTTTATAATACCAACATCCGACTACACCATGACAATCATGATTTTTCTAATAAAAACTTTAACTCTCATATATCACTAAACGCGATTGGTCACCATACCAAGATATGTACGAGTGCGATAATGCGCATTGTAGCAATGAGTAGGATTACTATCTGAGACCCGGTGTCAGTTCAGTTGCACCTAAGCATTTGAACACGGCACAAATAGATTCAATGGTATTGTAGATACCGTGTATAGACGCCACTTGATCCCAGCATGCTCTATATAGCTAGGATTGCGAAAGGAGTTATCGATAATGGTATAGAAGTGTCCGTGCGATTCGTATTTCAGATGATATTCGATATATTATTCTGAAAACGGTACAAAGTTTTAAATAAACAACTGTGTTTTAACTTAACTCAAGTAGAATTAAAGTCTACAAGTAAATTTAATCAAAGTAATCAAATAATTAACCAACACAATATATTGTAAATTTTATTTGTCTAGGAAACATCAATATAACAATTAATGAAACATCGATTACGC